TTAAACCAGCAGGAGCAGAGAAAGGAGAGGGGGTGGCCGGGGCAGCTGGAGACACGGTCTCCCTTATTCTCTGTGCCAGCTCGCTCCTCAGTGTGGAGGACACCCTGGGCAGGGCTGGACATGCACCTGGTCCCTGGCAGGTGCCCCCCTGCAGCTCCTAAGACAAGAGAGCCGGAGCCGGGTGTCGGAGTGGGCGGTATGGGTGCTGAAATCTGCAGCAGAATTCAGACCGGCTGGCTGCCCAAACCCACACACCAGGGAAGTCCAGCTGGGGAGTCCCCCAGCAAGCCCCGGGCTTTCCAGACGCTCAGGGAAGGGAAGGGGCAGGGTGCGCCCTCGCTGAGGACAGCGCTTGCTTCCAGGGGAACCTGGATTCGTCAGCTTCTGGAACCAACTGAGGTTCTGGTGGATGAAGCAGGACCTGTGGCTAGGATGAGCTGGGGCTAGGATTCAAACCCGGGTCCCTTCCACTGGGCAGGAGGTTCCCTGAGAGGAAGGCGTGTGTGGGGACCCATCTGTGACAGGCAGGTGGCACGAACCACAAAGGCCGGGGCCTTGCAGCCTCAGGCTTGGCCTCCTCCATCTGCCGCCCTGTCTTGGTCTCCAGACAAGCAGAGCCCTGGGGGAGTGTCTGGTCCTCATAACCCATTAGCAATCCCCCAGGGACAGAGGGACAGAGATGCAGGGAACAGGGGTCCTTGGTCAGAAGAGGGGCTGGCGCTGAGCCCAGCTGGGGTCTGGCTGGTGGGGGCCCCAGGAGAGGAGAAAAAAAAAGCCAGCTTCAAATGGAGAAACAATGGGGTGTCTGGGCCTCCTGGGTGGAGGGGGGGGAAGGAGGGGAGGGAGGAGGGGATCAGGGGTCTTTTCTTCAATGCAGGAGTATGGGGGTGGCGGAAGCATTTCCCCCACACACACCTCCACTGTCCACTTTTCTGCGCTCCACCTCCAATGGTCAAACACCAGTTTGGGTATGGGGGGCACCAAGTGCGCTTGAAGGGGAGCCAGAGTCGGGGGTCCTGGTATTGAAGGCCGGATCGATGCTTCCTGCCACCATCTCCCCGGCTACACCACCCCCGCATCTCCAAAACCAGATCCCCGCCCAGGGCTAAGGCCGGCCTGCACCTGTGCTCACCTGACCAGCAGGTGCGCTGGTCCAGAGGGTCGCGCACGCGGGGCTGCAGTCAGATTCGGCAGGGCTGGGGGGAGGGGCCCGGGACGCCCCCAGCCTCAGGGCTGTCGACTCCCCAACCCCCCCCCCAAAAAAAAACTGGGACCCGCGGGACCACCCCGCCTTCTCGCCACCCGATCCGGACGGCAAGCCCCCAGCCTGCCGCTGTGGTCCTGGGACCTTAACCCGGATGCCTGGCCACGCGTGGGAGAGAAGCCCCGGAGCCCCCCTCCTCCAATTCCGCGCGGCCCCTCCGGGTCCCGCACTCGGAAGGGCGGCGGGGGGCCAAGGGGGGGCTCTGCGGCGAGGAGACCCCCGCCGGGGGCGGCCCGGGTGGGGTCCGCGGGCGGGCGGGTCAGGCTGCAGGAGGGGGTTGCTCACCTGAAATTGGGCGGCGACGCGATGTGCAGCCCCAGGAACGGGGAGGCGGCGGGCGGGGACAGGCCGCCGCTGTCTCGCTCGGCCATTCTCCGGCCCAGCCCTGGCCATCCGGGCGGAGCGCGGCGCAGAGGCGGCGGCGGCCGGGCGCGGGGCGCGGGGCGCGGGGCGCGGGCACCTGCGCAGGGTAGGGTGCGGCTTCCGGACCGCGCGCCGCGCTCGCCACTGGCGGGAGCGCCCCCGCGCGCGCCCCCGGGCCCTCGCCGGGGTCCCCGCGCCCCGCCCCGCCCCGCCCCCGGCCCCGCCCCGGCGCTGTCCGTGGTGCTGGAGCCGGGGCTCCCGCGGGCCGGGGTCCCGTGCAGCCCACTCCCCCGCGGGCCTCTCCGACCCTTCCCGGCTCCCGCCTAGTCCCCCTGTACAGCGCACCACGGGTGGCACGCGTGGAGGGTGCCCCTCAGGGTGGGTGTTGCGCCCAGGTATCGGCTAACCCGTGGTGGGACCTCTCCCAGGGGCGCGGATTGACCTCCTTCTTCCCCAAAAGACAAAGTGAGGCAAAGCTATTTGGGGGAAGGAGGTGATGGAGGATTCCAGCAGGAAGCGTGGGTGTGGATCGGGGCTCGGGGCACAGCTGCCTGGACGCTGGGGTTTCTGAGGTCACAGTCCTGGCTCCCATCTAGCTGCCGCCCCAGATCTATGTAGGTGTTTTACACGCGGCTAGAAACAGGTCCTTCTCAGGTGGCGAGGGTGAGCAGGACCATCCTACCTCCTGGGGAGATCCGGGCCTCACCCCAGCCTGTCCCCATCCTGGAGGGGACTCTCCCAAGTACTTCTTAGAGGGTCTCTTCAGAAGCTCCCAGGTCCCCTTGGACCCCAAGGCCTCCAGGGATTGAACCCAACCTTCCCTCTTGGCCACCCTCTCAGCTTCTCCCTCCCGTCTGGACTTTCCCACAGCTCTCTGGTTTTTGGTTTGGGGGCCACACCTGGTGATGCTCAGGGGTTACTCTTGGCTCTGCGCTCAGGAATTACTCCCAGCAGTGCTCAAGAATCTATATGGGAAGCTATATGGGATTGAATCTGGGTCAGCTGTGCACAAGGCCAAGTTCTGTCCCCAATGCCCTATCGTTCCGGCCTAGCTCTCTCTCCTTACCTGGCCCCTCAGTTGCATTTTCTGCACAGCACCCCTTTTGCACTCACACTCCCCACATCCCCCAGGGAAGCCTTGCTTGGGTCCTGTCCCCAGATTTGATTTCTTTTTTTTTCTTTTTGGGTACACCTGGCAATGCTCAGGGGTTACTCCTGGCTTTGCACTCAGGAATCACTCCTGGCAGTACTCAGGGGACCATATGGGATGCTGGGAATCAAACTTGGGTTGGCCGCGTGCAAGGCAAACGCCCTACCCGCTGTGCTATCACTCCAGCCCCGGTTTCTTTCTGTTGTTGTTGCTTTTCTGTTCCCTCCAGGACCTCTGGGCTTCCCAGCTGGCCATCCTCCTCGCAGAGGACAAAACCTGGACCTCTGGCCCTGGAAACTCCATATTGCTCACTTAACTCCTTTGACAGACTCTTCCGGATGCTTCAGGCTGCCAGCAAAGGCTAGGCAAACTTGGTGGGTCACTGAGTCCCTGGGCAAACCTAACATCGTTTTCCCTCCACCTGAGAACTGCAGAGGCTCTGTCCTCCCTCTGAAGAAAGAAAGGACAGAGGAAACCAATCCTCAGCTGGTGGAGTCCTGTCTGCAGCTCTGAGCTACCAACAGGTCAGGGCTCTGCCTTTCCTTCATTGGAGCTCCATCCAGGAGCTTGTTGCACGTGCGCAGTAGGAAGCCACTTCAGCTCCAGCCCCTGGGAGGCGTGGGCTGCCCCTTTCTCCCTGCCCTGCACCCAGGGAACGGCCACTCATCATTCTACTATCCAGGTTCCTTTCTCTCAGCACCAACAGCAGCACCTACACCTTTGGCCTCTGGCTTTTCCTTCCAGAGAGAAAGTCTTGCTAGAACAGCTAGTAAGTAAGCTAGTAAGCTAGTAAGAGCAGCTAGTAAGCATCCCTCAAAATGTGTTTCAACTAGAGAGCATCCTAGGGGGGTGTGTGTGTGTGTGTGTGTGTGTGTGTGTGTGTGTGTGTGTGTGTGTGTGTGTGACAACCCCAACCTTCCCAAACCTTTTGCTCAAGAACAAAGGCATTTTTCTTTTCCTCCTAAGACCAAGCCAAAGGCACATCCCAAAGCAGCCAGAGGGAGAAAGGAAAGAGACCCAGGTCTTCTCAGTGGGAGGCACCCAAAGAAACTTCAGGGCGGAGTCATGTGAATCTCAGGCTCAAGATTCTTCCTTCTCAATGGGCACTGGTGGAGGGATGGGTATTTGATCATTGTATAATTGAAATCCAAGCACAAAAATGTGTAAGTCTACAACTGTACCTCATGGTGTTTCACTAATAAAAAATTTAAAAAAAATGTAGGTCACTTAAAAAAAAAATTCTCCCTTCTCTGCCTCTTCCTCTAGGCATGCCCGAGGATTACCCTACCCAGAGCTGAAGTGCCAGCTAAGGTCGGAGCCGGCCCTCAGCATCTGTGTAGCCTGCACCCAGGGCAGATTCTCCAGCCAGTCTACAGGTCCTGGGCTGGACTGCGGGCAGAGGCCGAACACCTGCCAGGGCCACATTTGCCAGGGGCCCCACACTCCATACCTGCAGACCTAAGGGGTTGATATGAGGCTGAGGGAGACTCATGGGGCTGGAGAGAGTGCACAGCCACTTACTGATCTCCAGTGTGGGTCTCTCAGGGGCCACCCAGCTCAGGCGCAGCTGAGCCAGCTCCCAAGAACTCCTGGGGCACCCAGCCTTGCTCCCTGCACTTCCAATCCAATCAAGGGCAAGAGGCTGCTGGCACCGCAGAAATAGGGTGTCCGACCCCAGACTTGGCCCCATTTCACCCTGAACTTTCCCAGCCCCCAGCCAGCCCACGAAATGAGGACAGCACAGCTTTGATGGAGAGAATCAGATGTTTATGCTGGAGTGAATGCTCACGCACTGGGGAGAACCCCTCTGGATGAAGTGCATTTTGCTGGCGACCCTCTCACCTCCATGCTGGCCCCTGGAGCTGGGGTGTGGGGGGTAGGAGCACCCCCAGCAGAGGGGGGCGTGAAGTTGGTGTGGGCTGAAGGCCACAGGCCGTGTCCTCTCCCCAACCTCTCTCAGTGCTGCTCCACTAGGAATGGGCCAGGGTGCCAGAGAAATGGGGTGTTCTCGTTCCCCGTACCTTGGAGAGGAGCCAACTGGGAAGGCAGAAGGGAACCATCCTGGTACCCGAGAGTGCTACTACATCAATGCTGATTCGGCCTGAGCCCCACGTGGCCTCACCTCTCATGCCAGCCTAGCCAGATAGGCTTCCTCTATCTCCCCCCCACCCCTGGCAGAAGTTCCCCCTGTTCTCATTCCTCCTGGATGGCGGTAAAGGAACTGGGTAGTCCCCAGCCCACATGCCCTGCCCCCTGGCCCCAGGCTCCAGGATATGGTCCGTGAGAGGACAGAGGACGGTGTTGGTCAAGGCTTAGAAATCCCAAGGTCCTCTGGGATTTCTAGCTAGGAGCAGGGCAGCTCAGAAAATGCTGCCTGCAGGACTCTGGACTGAAGATGGTGAAGGGGCAGGCTGGGTCTGAGCAAGTCACAGACCTGTCTGTGGCTAAGACAGGTCCCCGGGGAGGCAGGGAGGTGGTCACCCAAGGTCAGCTCCCTGTCACATGGGAGGAGACTGTCCAGGGAGGAATGAGTCATCTGATTACATTTGTCCCCAGTGGATGGACAGATGGACAGATGGACAGATAGACACACACAGAGACATACACACACACAAACACACACATGCACACACACAGAGACATACACACACACAAACACACACATGCACACACACAAGTCACTTGGTGGCTCAACTGCAGGCCACAGGGTGGAAGGAAGACTTGCCCAGGCTGACACACTGTCCATTTCAGGCTGTTCCCATGATCCCCTGGTCCCCAGCAACCAGCCACTAGCCCAGCCAGCATGCAGATGGGGTCCTGGCGTGTGGCCGGAGGTGGGAGGACTCAGATCCCAGACAGCTTGCTCCCTCTACCCTCCACCCCACCTGGGATTCTGCTCCTGACCTCAGGGCCTCACCCAGAAAGACTGGGGTGCATCTGTCACACCTGCAAGCAGGACAGTTACTCTGAGGGGCTCTGTGGAGGTGGGGGGCTGTGTGGATCTGCCCACAGCCTGTGCTCATCCCCAGGGAGGGGTCGGAGGAGCGGGGCCGGGGAATTTCCAACTATGAGAAAAACTAGGCCTTGTGGTAAGGCCTGGAATGCACACAAAGATGCACACACACACACACACACACACACACACACACACACACACACACACACTCATATTCGCCCATGCTGGCATGCCCGGCCTCCAGGATGCCCAACAGAAAAATGGGCATGGCTCTGGCTGCCTCTGGAACCTCAGGCCCTGGAAGAGACAACACTCTTGAGACCAGAGCCTGGGTCACTGGCGGAACCTCTAGCCTGGGATGGGGGGGAGGGTGCCCGGAGGCCAGTGGAGTCAGGTACCCCAGCAGACCAGGGGGCGTCCAGAACCCCCAGGTGGAAAGACGCACAGGGGCAGCCCTCTCCTCCACACACCCGCTCCCATGCACACGCGCTCGCTCCCTCTGTCAGTGCTCCCGATGGTGGCCGGTTGTGCGTGGCAGTGGCAGCTGCTCGGGCGGGCATCCAAGCTGGGCTCCTGGCGCCTCAGCACTGCAGCTGGAAGAGAACAAGCACAAGAAGGAGCTTTCAGGAGACCGGAGTGATAGATAGGAGAGTGGGTAGGGCTCTGGCCTTGCACACAGCCGAGCCGGGTGCACTGCCCAGCATCCCAGAGTCCCCAGAGCACTGCCACGCTAATTCCTCTGAGCATCGCTGAGTGTAGCCCCAAAACAAACCAAAAAAGGAGCATTCGGGAGATGCTCAGTTGTCCGCAGATGCCTCCCACAGTGGCGTCCCCGGGAGGCTGGGTCTGCCTGGGGCGAGAAGAGTCCAAGAGGGACTTGATGCCAACTCAATGCCGGGAGTGCCCAGGAGCTTGAACTCTGCCTGCCGGCTGGCCTCAAGCAAACTCTCTCCTGCAAGGCCCTCTGGGTACTGATCCAGGGCTATGGGTCACAAAGGATGCAGAAGACCTCCCTGAGGCTCACTCGGCCTGCGAGACCTTGGCCCTGGACCGGTCAATGCACAGTGGCTGCGGTCAGAGATGGAGAAGTGGAGGGCAACCTGCAAGGCAGAGGTGAGGTTTAGAGAAGCACGTTTCCCCAGGCTGGGAACAGAATGCTGGCACAGTGCTGGGAGACAGGGGAGAAGAGACACAAGGATGATGCGATTCAAGGGTTTTAATATCCTGAATGTGGGGCAGAGGGAAGACACGAACTCCTTGTTTGCTGAGGATGGGGAGGCCAAGCTGGGCCTGTCTATGGAGGTCCGGCATGTCCGAGAGTAAAGAGTGCAGGGTCCGGGACCTGTTTGCAGAGTGCTGGGAGGCAGACACAATAGCAAGAAGCCGTTTACTGGGCCAGAAAGCTAGAGCTGGGGATAGGCTCCGGCCTTGCATGTGGCCAACCCAGGTTCAATCTCTGGCACCGCATGTGCCCTGCCCCCCGTCCCCCCCGCCCCCCGCCCGCAAGCACTTCTGGGAGTGATTCTTGAGTGTAGAGTTTCAAGCAGCCTCCAGTGTGCGCCCCGTAAAGGCAGCCGACTGAACCTACCTAGGGTCAGATACTCGTGTGAGGGCAGAATTGTGCTCCTCTGACTCCCTCACCTCCAAGTCCTATGCTGGCGCCTACTAGTGCCTTAGGCTTTGACAGCATTTGGAAAGCGGGATTTTAAAGTGATTACTGAACAGTGACAGTACAGCAAACAGGGCTCTTTGCCTTGCACATAGCTGATCCAGGTTTGATCCCTGGCACTGGCACCCCATATGGTCCCCTGGGGACCTACCAGGAGTGAGCCTTGAGTGTAGAGCCAGGAGTGAGCCCTGAGCACCACCAGTTATGGCCTAACCACCCTCCCCACCCCCAACCCCCCCCCAAAAAAAAATCCAAAATCATCTCTCAGCACCTACAACTCTGGAATCTACAGGTTTCATCTGGATAAGTGTTTATCTAGACCCAGGGTAAAACCACGAGCAAGTGTGAGAAGGGACAGGTGGACCTATGCCATCAGTATGTGGCGCTCCAGACTCTAATGTGTGCCCACAATGACTGTTTCCAGCAACTTTGATGGTCATTCGTCAAATCACACTCATTCTACTGCACATACATCAAACTATTACTAAGACTTTGTATATGGGTCTCTTTCAGGACTCTGGTATTAAGCCAAACCTCAACAAAATGGCGGGAGGGTGGGGAGAATCCCTCCACCAGATATTCTCTACTTTCCCTCCCTCTCAAGATGGGGAGAGGACAGAAATGCCCTCAGAACAATAGTTCTGAACCTTACGGGTTCCAAGGAGAGGTGTAAAGGCCAGTCTGTGGAGACGAAGTTTCTGCATACGCCTTTCTGTCTGTGTGTAAACAGGTGTTATTTTCTTTCTTTCTTTCTTTCTTTCTTTCTTTCTTTCTTTCTTTCTTTTTGCTTTTGCTTTTTGGGTCACACCCAAAAATGCTTAGGGGTTACTCCTGGCTCATGCACTCAGGAATGACTCCTGGCGGTGCTCAGGGGACCATATGGGATGCTGGGAATCGAACCTGGGTCAGCCGCATGCAAGGCAAAATGCCCTATCCACTGTGCTATCGCTCCAGTCTCCCCAAATAGGTGTCATTTTCAAAGGGGAGGCTCAACCCTTGCCAGGCTCCCCAAAATGTGGATAACTGCAAAAAAGGGTTTAAGAACCCACACCTTGGGTTAGAGAGAGACAGCACAGTAGGGAAGGCGCTGGTTTTGTACCTGGTCAACCCAGTTGATCCTATGGGATTAGATCCCTGACACCCCAAATGATCCCCTGAACAATGCTCAGGGGTCAGCACAGAGCCAGGAGTAAGCCCTGAGCACCACAAGATGCAGCCCCCAACCCAAACCAAAGACCAGAAACCAATGCCCTGCGGATCAGTGGTAAGTGCCTGGCACGTACGAGACACAGGTTTGATCCTTGGCGCCACAGAAACAGAAACTAAAGCCAGTGGTTGGCACCTACTGCCGTTGGCACTTCTGCCTGGGGTGGGGAGAGGAACTGGCAGCGTGGAGCCGAGCAAAAGACCTGTGACGGGGGTGGCAGGGACTGACCTCAGCAAAGCCCTAGGATCCGAGTCTCTGCATAAAGGATGCAAAAGCACAGACCCAGAACCCCCAGGTCTGGAAGAACCAGTTTGTCCTTGTCCACAAGGTGAGCCAAACGGCTGTTCAACTAGCAGTTCAAGCTGCCCTGTCAGCAGCTAAGGAGCCGGCCTTGTTCTCAAGCGAGGGCTTGAAGCCTGCAGGGAAAGGGGTCTGGGGAAATCAAAGGAAGCCTTTGCAGGAAAGTGATGACAGCAGCAGGGAAGGAAAGGGAAGCGCATCCCGGGGAGAGAGGTGCCGGCGGGGAAATCAGCTCCAAAAACATGCACTGGAAGAAAGCCATCTCGGGGTCCACTCTCGGCCAGCCGCTAATGGAATATCAGCTGTCCCGAGTGCCGGGATGCTCCCTCCATGTGCCTGGTACCCTCACACACCCATCCCTTAGCTGCTAACAGGCAGACTAGCTCTGTAAGGCCACCCTGCAGGTGTGTGTGACCAGGGCACCTGCAACAGGCTCTAGCCCACCAAGGGGCACCTACGGCACAGGCCTGGAGGGAACTTGGATCCTGTGACGAGTCTCAGAGGTCGCCAGCATCTGCCAGCTCCCAGGTGAGCAGCAAGGAAGTACAGAGGGACAGTCAGGTGTGTGTCTAGGTGGGAGGGGAGTGGGGGCAGGACCAAGCTCTAGGCTTGGGACCATTTCCTTGGGTAGTGCCACACTTCCCTTCCTGTACCCGACAATTACACAGAACAAGGGAGGGATGCTTAGCAAGTGCAGAGGGCACACACGGACCCCGAATTTCATCTTTTCTTTTTCTTTTTTTGGGGGAGTCACACCCAGCGATGCTCAGGGGTTATTCCTGGTTCTGCACTCAGGAATTACTACTCCTGGGGGTGCTCGGGGGACCATATGGGATGCTGGGGATCGAACCCAGGTCGGCTGCGTGCAAGGCAAACATGCAACCCACTGTGCTATTGCTCCAGCCCCCTCATCTTTCCTAATATCAGGGAGTTGAGGGGGTGATACATCCAAGCGGTGCTTCTCAGGCCCTGGGGTGCTGGATCACCTGCCCCTTCTCTTCTCCCCCACTCACCCCGTCTTGCTGGGGACCTCCAGGTCTGCACTTGGTGATGTTTGGGGATCAAACCAGAGTTGGCCGCACCTCAGGCATGTGCCTGAACCCCTGGTCCATCTCTTAGGACCCCCAGCTTCTCCTTTACTGGCCAGAACTAAGCAGCAGCCGAAGGTTCATATCTGCTCGGCGCTTCCCAGACTGGTCCGCTGGTGCGTTTTATCAAGGAGGAACGTACTACGCCGACAGTGTCAAGGGACAGGCAGAGATGCCGGAAGTCAGGTCTTGACCAATGAAGCCCCCTCCGGGCCCTCCCTAGAGCCCAGCCTCCCGGGAACGGCTGAACTGTGGGTGCGGAGAGCTGACCTCTGACTTTCTCCCTGCAGAGCACTATGTACCAGCCGCCCTCACCCCACCCTGCAGGGCAGAACAATTGGACCAAAGAGAAAACTCCGTACACAATTCCAGCCCAGTGGAATACTGAGCCGTCAGCAACTTAGAGGACTGTGGGTAGCAGAAGAAACAAGAGCTACGTGGGGGCTGGTCCGTGCTCTGGCAAGCCCTGGTCAGTAAAGTTCAGCGCAGGACAGATGCTCGCGTGGGGAGGCGGGAAGTGTGGAAAGAGACCAGGCCTGCCCATCAGTTCTCTTTAACCTGCAGGAGACCAGGGCAATAGTATAGTGGATAGAGCTTACATGTGGCCGACCTGGATTCAATCTTCAATCCCCGGCATCCCATGTGGTCCCCCAAGCACCACCAGGAGTAATTCCTGAGTGCAGAGCCAGGAGTAAACCCTTGAGCATTGCTGGGTGTGACCCAAAAAGGAAAAAAAAAAAAAAGGTCTTTAATCTGCACATCGGCATTTGCCCCTGGAACTGCCAGTAGAAAGAAACAGAGCTCGGAGCTGGCACTCAACAGCCAAAGGTTCAAACTGGTGCACTGGCCACTAAAGAATGCGAGTCACACCCATGCTGGCCTGGGTCAAATCACTGCAGCAAGCGGGCAGAGGGGAGAAAGGAGCAAGTCCCAGTCCCTCGACAGGACACTAGCTGGAATGAGGCCACCCAGTCATGGCTCTGCGGCCCGTTTCGCCATGTGTGCTAGCTCTGACTCAAGTCACGGATTTGCCAGTCCCACAGGCCCTGAGCAGCAGGGGCGAGAGAGTCTGGTGAGCTCCTCTGTGCATTGCGGTTCACAGAAGACTTTTCACACAGGGGGTTTCGTTTTCCTCCCCTGATGCTCTGCTGTGAAGGCGGAACTGGGGGATGAGACACTCTTTTCACCGTTCCACAGGTGAGGCGCGACACCTTTAGGCCCGGGAGATGCACAGCACAATACACAGGTCTAACTATCCTTCCGGTTCCCAGAGACCAGGGTGCACACCCCAAGTCGGTCGTGCAGGGGGGTCTGTAACTGCCCAGCCCT